ATGAATTAGATATTCTTACCATTCGGCAACTTGTTACTTCTGTATGATTCATTTTTTAAGTACTATTTCAAATATTTTGGTAATCTTGAAATTGATTTGTATAACCTATTTCAAATCTGAGTAACTAAATAGCATTACTCACTAAAAATGACAGATATAATAATGGTTTTCGATTCAATATAACCTGTAATAAAAAGAATTATGTAATTTAATATATTTCTCTAACTCTCAGAATGTTAGCATTTTCACTCAGCATCAGAAATCACATAAATAAAAGAGGTCCACGGGAAATTCCAATTAAGCATCAATGACAACTGTCACTCACGATGGCTTAGTTCATAGTACATTATTAAAATAGGGGGTTTCTTATTTTTCAGACAAGGTTTATGAAGTAAATAATAACCCCACCGCAGCAAACCCAAGTGCAACTAAGTGAATTTCCATTTGCTTAGTGGGATTTCCACAAAAATATTCCCCTAAAATAGTTTTATTTATTCTATTATATTTTATTTAGTTCATATTTATTTGCTTTGTTAACATAACTGTTATAAAATTAATTTTAATGAGTACTTAGGTTAGCTACTGAAGGTACTAAAGGTAAGGTAATGAGGTGTGTTTGTTAAACTGTTAACAGCTTAGTATGACGTAAACAAGTTTGCCAAATTAAATAAAACTATTTCCATAAACAAGCAAACTACAAAGATTTATTTAGTGAGATTCGAAATAGTCAGTTTTTTTTTTTTATTTCCACCGTAACTGTTAGACATACAACAATGCTCCCGTATATATTAAATTATTTGTTTTTTATGCTCTATAAAATGGTTTAGGAAGAATAATGAATTATGTTTTTAGGTTCAAACATGAGAAACCCCTATCTTAACCCCATAAAAACCCCCCACAAACTCCTTTTTCCATTGTCCGATCATGCTGGTTCGCGAACTCGTTCGAATAAAAGTAGGTTTACATGTTTGTACCAAATTTCATCGGTATATGTTTACTCGAGTTATTGCTCTAAAAGACACACACCCACATATACACAGACACACACATGATGAATTGGTGTTTTTGGCCTCTGGAGACCTCAAAACAAAAAAGTAAATCGGAGACCTACGGTAATAGTTTATTACCTATATGGGAAATTCACTAAATAATTTTATCTTTAAATATAATCTACTAAAACTCTAGACATCATCAATATGATATGCTTAAATGAAACGGGTCTTGTCATTAAGGTTTCAATGAGTGGATTTTTATTTTTTTCATTTAGCCTATCAATACAACGACTAATTGGAACATATTACTAATATTTGCCATGAAACAATCGCGGGTAAGGAAATACGTAGGATTCTTAATATTTTGGATATGACATTATAGACTAAGTAGGCCTTCTGTAGGTTTCATTGCCGATCCCCTCCCTCAAATAAAATCACAGACAGCCCAAACTGTCATCAGCACAGACGCTCTGAAGTCCAACTACAAGAGTCCTTCACTCGTCTAGACTGGAGTGATATCTCCCAGATGAATAACGTGTGGAACAGTTCGGTCTAACAGTTGTTGAACCATTAGTGAATATTGTTAATTGGTCAACCACTTGTTCATGACTCCCGACATGAAAAACGTAAGAAAAAAATCTATGGGTATATCATAGATTATTTGTTACACTTGTGTAAAGTTCTTTCAAAACCAAAGCACTTTCAACATGTTTTGTGTGTTAGCTTCAAAGCAACCGTTTTGTTAGTTAAATATGGAATATTCCAAATGATCACTACGTGAGACAATAAGTAACTATTGTAACTTATGCTTAAGTTTGACTAGCAAAATTACTAAAATGATCGATCTACAATAAAAATTTTATCTACAATCGGATTCTTAACATTCTAATTGTAAAGTGAATATGTGAATGTGTTAAATTGGTATGACGATACTAATTTAAAAAAAAACTCCTAAAATTTGAAACAATCCTTATTAGTTTAAGGAATTAAATGTTCAGTTTGAAACAGTAAAATATTGTCAAAACCTTATTGAGCTTCATTTTAAGACCAACGCATTAGGGTTTTTTTTTCGTAAATCGATTGGTTTTTGCAAGCTTCTGGCTCTGGGAAGTGGGAATTTTACAGAGGAATTTGTTCCCTCATACTTTGTAACACTCCCTCATACTAGTAAGTGCTGCAGGAAGACTTAACTTAAGTATACCCCTTTTTGGGGCGATAAATTCAATAGATCACAAAATGAATAGACCTTTTATTACTGTTTTTCATTTCAATTATAACCTACCTCATTCACAAGGCTCTATAAAGTAAGAATATGTATTTGAGTACAATTTTATAAAGTACATTTCTAGGACTTGTTTAAATAAATGGAGCATAGAGATATTTCCAAGCCCTTACTTACTTACTACTATTTGAATATAAAAAAATAACTCGTAGAAAGTGTTCCTATCCTTGATTTAATTATAGCAAATGCTTTGATGTTTTTGTCACTAATAAGTTAAAATTTTAAATATGGTTCATTAGCCTATATTAGTATAAATATTGTTTGAAACCGTCAAATGTATTTGAATTTTCATCAACTTATACATTAATTTATCCACGACGCAGAGTTTTATCCATGAGACCGTGTAGATGCCAGCAATAGGAGACCCTTTATTCAATAAAGATAAAACGAGGCAGCCCCAACTGCTAGCTCTGCTATAACGCCAACCAGAATCAATAAATTTGTACCCCTATTTGAGCAGAACCGATATCTATAACTCGTTATCTCGATGCCTTGCCAGAACTACCCACATCATAACCCAGTTTGATAGTGATTTTGTTTTCTACATTTTACAGATTTTGATTAAAACTCCCCTTAGATGAAAAACTTAATCTAATTTGATGTATCACTTACAAAAACTAAACTGAGTCAGCTATTGATTTGAAATACTGTTACTGTAATCAGAGTAAGCATAGATTTAAATTATTCCTCGATATCCTGATCATACTTGGTAATGTTTTGTATTTAACAGTGTTTACATGGTTCTCGCATGTATTTAATGATTTAAGAGTGTTTGCTATGTTTACAAGTGTGTTTACTTTATGTCCCATAGTGGCTATACAGTGTACACCGCTTGTGTCTAAGAGTGGGTGATAGAGTGTCTACGTACCTTATATGAGTAATTCAAAGTTTTTACATAAATTATCACTCCGGTTTTGCTAGTTCCAGCAACATTTTTCTTTTGTGTGTCAGAGTGTTCAGATGGTTCTTCGTGTGTCTCAGAGTGTTTTCATAGTTTCTCTTGTGTTTGTTTAAGAAAATTTAAATTTGTTATCTTGAGTTGTTTACATATGTTTCAGAGCTCTTGTGTTTCAGAGTGTTTACATTTGTTTCAGAGCTCTTGTGTTTCAAAGTGTTTCATAGTTTCTCTTGTGTTTGTTTACTTGTGTTTCAGAGTGTTTGAATGGCTTCTCTTGTGTTTCAGAGTGTTTAAATGGTTCCTCTTGTGTTTCAGAGTGTTTACATGGTTCCTCTTGTACTTCAGAGAGTGTTTAAATGGTTCCTCCTGTGTTTCAGAGTGTTTAAATGGTTCCTCTTATGTTTCAGAGTGTTTAAATGGTTCCTCTTGTGTTTCAGAGTGTTTATATGGCTCACGCGCTGAGACGCATCTCCTACGCCACCTGTGATCCCACTCACTGCCAGTTCAGCTTCCTCGCCAGAGAACCAAAAGGACATTGTAGTCTTCAGTACTGCCACGCCTTCGTTACCAAAACTGCTGAACAGGTAACATGCTTTTACATGGTACAATGCATGATTTTCATTCGGTGAGTCATTTTCTTCTGCAAGCATATTTATTTTAATCTCATTGTGAGTGCATTGTGTTTTTAATATTATATATTTCTAGCTGTTGGCCCGTCCTACGTACGGGAATCAATTAGTCGATTAAGACTGAATTTAATTGAGAACAGCTAATACACGCGTAAAGAACAATTCTGGCTGCTTTAATAGAGAAAGTCATCTTGTAAACAAATATCACGTGATCACCTATTTCTGTCATCCTATTATAGGCATATACGATATGCATTTTAAATCTGATAATTTAACTGTAAAACACCGATTGTGTTGATTTGAAAAGCCACCAGTTTAAAGTGCAATTTCTACATATCACCTTACATTACACATTATCACTTACTGGGTACCTTATTTTACCTCTGTGGCCACTGAAACCTAAAGAGCATTTTTGCCTCCCATTCTCAGTTTCACCTGCCTCTTCTAATGTCGATCCCAGTCTGGAGAAGTCTTTCAATGCCTGGTCCTCAAAGTGGTCGTCTATCTTGACGTTCTCCTTGGAATACATTTTTAAAAGTTGATTTATCGCCTCTCCTCCACGCATAGCCTGTCCATTCCAGCCTTTGACTTCTGGAAAGCCTGATATATCTGGGTGTTTAAACATGAATTAATTAACTTAACAAGTAAATTCTCATTTCTAAAGGTTTAAATTGACTGCAATATTTTACTGGGTTAAGATAGAAACTTCTAGTTTCCGTTGTTAGTTTTCTTTTATCACGACTATCAGAATGAGGGGTCACTCCACGGGGCTTAAAATTTCAATTTTTTTAGTTTTCTTGAAATCCCCTGTTTTGGGTTGGCGAACCAAGTAGCAATTAGGCTCAAAAAGTACTTCATAACATGTCATAGATGTGTGCAGAGTTTAGTTTTTCTAGTGTGAGCCGTTACAAAATTTACAGGTGGTCTCCAGACTTGGAAAGCTGTAAGTTAAATTTCACTTCTGTGAATTCCAATTGACTGCCATTTTTTACTGGGTTGAGATACAGACCCCTTTGTTTGCGTTATTGGTTTTCTTTTATCAGGACCTTCGAAATTGGGGGTTACTCGGTGTAAGTTTTGGACATTATAGTTGCATTACTTATTTAAAGTAGGCCTACTATTGAGTATTTATTTATGTATTTAAGTAATACTTTTTAATCTTTTATTAATGGAATGTTGTTTTTTTTCGTTAGGAATAAAACAAACATACTCTTTTTTACAAATGCACTTTTTACAATTTTTTGTGTATTTTCATCAGTTAACACCTATTTATCTATGAATTATGGTCATCAGTTAGCTCTACCTCAATTGTTAAAAGGTATGTTTTCTTATTTTCGATCCCCTTGACAACGCAGACGCTTTACGAGTTGTCTGTCTAAGACTTCAGCATCCGAGAGCAACAAACGTAGGTTCACACAAATCTCACTCACACCACAAATCTTGGTTTTACTATTCCAAGCAAATTACAAATACACCTATGATGGCTTTGTGCAGATCCCTATGTTCAATCATACCTACTTTTACTTTTGGAACCTCAACGATTTACTTAGAATATTGTTCAATATTCCCATTGAAAATATTATAACATAGAGGTATTCAAATATGATATAGGATTAGATAACATAACGTAAAAGGTAAAAGTAAGTGTGTAGAATATCTTTGGCAAGTATATCGAGAGAAGAGGCGAGACCGAGTGCTTTGATACATCGCGCATCAGTTGATACTGTGGCTTAAGCGAGGGAATAACTTACTTTACATGTAAATCCTTTCGGAGAAGGATCTTCTATGCAAATACCCGTTTTCTGTTACCGATCCTATTATTGACTATTTACACCGACGTAGGATACTCTGCATCGACATATTGTATACTATACAGGGTGTCCTGTAACTCTCTGGACACATGTATATAGCGTCATTGCTTAGGCCAAGACAGACACATGTCACCATAGGAACATGGGTCTGTGGTGCCTAGTTTTCCGTCTGTCTATATTTATGTGTTTTTTTACAAACAAATGCATAACTCAAAAACTGTTTGAGATACAGCATTTAGATTTTGTTTAATGTTTATCTTATTAAGATTTTTTCTTGTTTAAAATTATACGAACAAATCATTAACCGTTTCAAAATGACAGCCAATAAAACAACTTTATGTCGAATTTCACGAAACCCGCTAACTTTACAACAAAACTGAATGAGACAAAAAAGTTAGTAGTAGGTATTCATATAGTATTCAATGATACCTTATTTGGTAAGAATGGAAAATAATAACAGAGAAATAACTTCTTTTACAAATGCATGACCATTTTTCTCCTTTTAAACAATGCTACCACTCCTTTTACATTGTCTAAATATCTTTACAATAATCTGCTATACGTCAATCAGGTGTTTAAAACATAACAGCTGATTCAATCTTTTTTGTTGATTGTATAACTTGTTGTTCAGGCAAACGCTATATACATGTGTCCAGAGAGTTACGGGTCATTCTGTATTTACCAACATTATTATGAGGTGTTTGGAGACTATGTTTGATGCTAAAGAAAGACTGACCACAGTGATATTTTTCCTTAGCCTTAATATTGTTTGGTAAATTAGAGAGCATTAGTAATTGTTTACAGTTTTAGAACATGCTTTTGCTAAAATGATAAGTTAGTACTTATTGATATTTATTTCCATATTCATTGCTCCTTTAAGAAAATAACAGATGTATACAATATTGATTTAATTGCAATCCTGTAAATAATAAAAATCAAATACAGCTATCACTTAATAAAACTTGAACGAATATGCAACTGAAGTTTAAACTAAAAATTACTAAAACCTAAAAGCCTAAACATGTGGGGTTGTTTATTCACGAAAGTTAGTTTATTTTCAACGTGATGTTGTGTAATTGAAAGCAAATACGAAATAACGTCACTCACACGAGCAAGGTAATTAGGACCTCAGGGACAGACAGTTATAAAGTCCACATTGTCGACAGGTAAATATATCTGGCTTGTTAAAACATTTAGTTTACCTTCGTGTAACGTTAAAATCATCCATGTTGAAGTTTGCTATGCAATTGGAATATTTTTATGAAGACAGACGTTCGTGGTTGTAGACTTACTTGCAGACAAGTGATTGATAGTTTAAAACTATTCAGATTTCCAAGAGTCAGGGCATACTATACGCCTAGGGAACGCGGGAGTGAGCACCACATAGCAGACTACTGTTTGTAGCTGACGGGTCTTGCCAAGTACTTCATGCTGGCATAGACTAATTCTATGATGATGGTCTATGCAACTGTTGAACTCTGTTATTTACTAACTTACCAATTATCAGTTTTGAGATTGCCATTGAGGGTTTATAGTCAACGGTTTTACTAAAATTGATACTGAACGTTTCCTGAACACTGCCATATTCGCTTTGTGCATTCTTAAACCTTAAAGTTTATATTGATAACATGTTTTTAGAACTGTGTACTAAAAACTACTTTGAACTGTGTACTAAAAGCTAATTTAAGTATTTGGTTGTTTTATATCATATTGCACTTGTATCAGACTGTTTACAAAACCCATAAATCATAACAAGTTGAAGCTTTGAAAACGTTTGATTTTCTTCATCGAGTTTAAGAAGTAACATATAAAATTTTAATAAACTTGTTGTATATTTCTACACACTCAGTCATCAAAGTTAAACCAAAAATGATTCTCCTATAAAAAAAAAAACATTCATTATGAAATTCGTTGAACAGGTACGTAAAATCATGTATATGCATTCTATTTACAATAGCTAATTGAAAATATCAATAATTGATTCTATGATCATACCTTAAGCACACGATTGGTCCAAACATATTACTTGTGAACAATCATAATGGTCTCATATTTTTATCAGTGGAGAGACACACGTTGTATTGCACAGACATTAAATTCAGAAGGTCGTGAGTCTGTCGTCATAGTTACCAGAAGGGCTTTCGTTTACATGGAACAACAAACTAATTAATTGTTGAACAAATTCCGACTCTAATTTATTTGTGACGGTGAACATTCTACAATATAAATAGACAAAAAAGTCCAATACGAAATATAAATGAAATATGATTTCCTAGAACTATTCAATGGAACAAATGAAACTGGATAGGAGAAATGATAGTGCCTTTAATTGAACCTAATTTGCTTGCAATTCGGTGTTTAATATTACTTTGAACAAAGATATAATATTTAAAAGGCTGCATGTTTTTTTTTTATTTCCAAAAATAAATATTTACTTTACCAGTGTCTGCATGACTGAAATGGTTAATTAACCACATGCACATATTCTTGGTAATCTTTCGTTCAGTTGTTTACTTTTGGTGTTCCAAGGTTTTAGTTTTTAAATTATAATATGAAATTATACGTAGAAATTCTGGTTCACCCCTTTTGGTAATATATAATGAACTGTGTTTGCTAATTGAAATACATTTTAAGGCTAATAGTTTAGTTTAGTTATACGTATTTAGCAGATTACCAAACAACTCAACAATAATTATAAAGATGCATCCAAAAGATGGTTTGATCAATGGTTGAATTTATATGTGAACAAACGTTGTAAGATGCATTTCCATCACAGTTCAATATCCTTCCATCGTGTCCAAGTACCCTCAGGGGGGATTATGGTGGGATAATGGGGGATTTCAAGGGAGTTTGGGGGGCTTTGCGGGGTATACGCAGAGAAAGAATGTACTCTCCTACGTAACCTAGAGGAAAAGGTTATTTAATTTTAAAAACTCGAGGTGGATTGTAAATTGTTTTAGTTCAAATAAATTTGGATTAGAATTGAATTCAACACGTAATGAATCACAAAATGAATTGGGATTGAACAAATAATGTGTGAATGTGTATTATTAATGCTTGACGAAAAACATACACCCTGTACAGTATTTAGCAGGCCAGCTGATCATTTGTGAGGGAGAGATAGAACATATTACAAAATCCCCA